CTTCTCTTTTCAATGGAAAGCTTAACATACTTGTAAGTATTCTCCCAAGTCCCAACATTTTTTTTTCTATGGCATCTTGTATGAATTGTATAATTTGGCTTGATTATAACTGAGTCCCCTGCTGGCTGCTGTCATTACTCTGCTTCTGTTACATTGTTTAGATTGCCTTGTGCTGTTGTGGTTGAAACTTGGCCTGTTCTTTACCACCATTTTTGGGCATCAGTTGTCTCAGTGTTATTTGTATCATTTCGAATGCAAACATGTGGCTCTAAATGCAATTTAGGCATGATTAGAAAAGTATTTATGGTTGTTAACCATTGGTATTTGTTGACTTTCCCACTTTGATGATGCTTTTAGCAATGCTGTTTGCTCATTTTGCTGGTTCTTTATCTAAATTTAATCGAGGTTGCCTTTTCCGAGAAAGCAAAACTCCCTTGGTCAATTTGTTATCCAGTAATCAATCCTGTTTCATTATATGTCAATTATGTGCTAGATCTGATGTTTTCTATCAATTTGCTTGAAAGGCTTGAAGTTGTATCTACTAGGACAAAGGAGAAGCAAAAAGGAAAATTTGTTCTTCTATGTTTTCTCTCAAGCTGCTTTCCAGCAACTTTTCATATAAAAGCTCAAAATCATGGCTCTTTTGCTACACTAGTAGTCCTTGATGATTGGCACTGTATAGAGCTTTAATCTAATTTGAGAATTAACTTCCTAACTTTACAACAGCTCAGGTGCTGTGAGGTTAATTAAAAGAATAAGGGACAGCTCACTAGCTTCAAGAATCGAGACAGCTGGTTAGGATAGAAATGCACAAAAGAAGAGACTTTGTTTTAGAAAAGTTATTTAGTGCAGTTATTGGTGGCTGATTCAGACATGGTCATGATAAAGTTTATTGAGATATAAAAAATGGTTGATGTTTATTCATTTGTGTCTATTTATATCGAGAGAACAGATTTTTTCAGTCCAAATTGCACTATCAATTGCCCTCTCTCTGAATTATCAGAGTTTCTTTCTTTTTTGGACCCAATATATAAAACCATAGCATTCTTTATTTCTTTTGATAAAAAAATGCTTTAGTTGAAATGTTTGCCAAGTAGTTGTGCATTCTTTAAAGTGTTTGACTGCTTCCCTTTCACAACCTTCTGATTCTAGGTTAACAATGTAGGGACAAATATCAGAAAACCAACCATGGAGTACTCTACTGAAGAATTCTTAAAACTCATGACTACCAACTTTGAATCTGCATACCATCTGTGTCAACTTGCATATCCTCTTCTGAAAGCATCTGGAGTGGGAAATATTGTGTTCATTTCCTCTGTTGCAGGGCTGACCCATCTATGTAATATGTCCATTTATGGAGCAAGTAAAGGTGAGTTACCATTCTTACCTCCTTGACTCTCCAAAGAAGTTCGTCAATCGAAGAATTTCTAAAGTTTTCTTTAAAAACATCTTTGAAACCCCAGCTGCAATGAATCAACTTGCAAAGAGTTTGGCTTGTGAGTGGGCAAAGGATAATATCAGGTCCAATTGTGTTGCTCCTTGGTATATCAGAAGCTCACTTGTAGAACATGTAAGATTCTTACCTCCCACTCTATTTGATCTACTCTGTTATTTGTATGCATTTTATATTTCCGGGAAGTATATTTAATCATGATTTTAGAGGATTCATGCTTCATATATATGGCATTAACAGTGACATCATTGATGACCACCTTCCTTGTTCTTCCATTCCATTGATATCATAAGATATTTATCATGGCATAATCATCATGATAGTGAAATTTCGAAAAATTGGGTTCTAGAGCACTGGTTTTTTCTAATTCATAGGAACAAGCATTTATAAGGACTGATACTGAAACTCTAATATCAATGTAGCTCATCTGTTTGACTCATTAATTCATATCTTTTGCCATGCAGTTGCTTGAAAATGAACGATACTTGGAAAATATAATATCGCGAACACCTCTTGAACGCGTTGGAGAAGCAGAAGAAGTATCATCTCTTGTGGCATTCCTTTGCCTTCCAGCTGCTTCATATATCACCGGACAGGTTATTTCTGTTGATGGAGGATTCACAGTGAATGGCTTTAATCCTAACATGAGACTTGATTTTTCTCCTGAGGATTAAATGTTACTAGATTTCGATCTTCATTTTTTTTTTTTAATGGAAGAATAAATTTAGGTTGAGCAAGAAAGACAAACTCGGTGTCTCTACCTTCTGCATTTCTTATTACGCATAATAATCCTTTGTACTTTTAAAAGCTCTGAGTTCATTTCATGTGTTTTGTGGTATGTATTACCTTAGTACAATATGCATACAAGTCATTGTTAAAAAAAAAAAAAAAATTTACAATTTAGATTATATTATATTGTAAAGCATCTCTCATGGAATGAGAGGTCATTAATTACAAAAGTAATTGTAAGATTAGTTCTTCTTATTTTAGAAATTGAGATTTTATTTTGCAATTTAAAATAAGGAAATGAGATGCAGGACAAGGCTATTATTGCTTTTCTTAATTGTACCATATTTTTATTAAATTGTCCTCCAAAGAAAACCATTAGACATACGTTCAAGAATTTAAGCTACTGAAGTAACCATTATTTTTCCGGCTTAGAAGGTGTAGCAATAGCTAATTAGCTTTAACTTTCTCTGTTGATAAAGAAAAACAGCTAAAATATCATTTAATTCAAAATTAGATATGTAATTGAAAAACATATATTTCTAATACACATATGCTCATGCTGTAGACAGATTTTTTTATATAATAAAGATATCATAGAAGCGATATTCTTATTTATTAATGCGATAGACGCATCAACAAATGTAATCTTTATTTATAATTAAAAAAATAATAATTTATTATAACTTATTAATGTATTTAATAGTAAGAACTGAATTTATTAATGTATGGTTATATTAGTAAATGAGAATGTAATGGACTTTGATATCTCATTATATAGAATAATTTCAATATGATAACTCAACAGTTAAAAATTTAAAATTTTAAGTTAAAAACTTTAAGTTTAAACCTTAAATTGAGTGAAAAGAGATTTGAAAATAAAAAAATATATATTATCTCTTATATAATCCATAATTAAAAAAAAAAAAAAATATCCCTTTCGTGGACGTTGTTATGATGACGAATGTGCAAAGAACAACCGGTTTTTATGAGTTGGGCTTTCCACTGATTTAGAAAAAAGGGAAAATGTTCTAGAAAATATTAAGGCCCAAAACAAAATCTGAAGTTTGAAAACTCAGGGAACGCGAGGTGCCGTGTTTTGGAGGAGTTTTTAGAAGAGAAGAATGGATAAATGCAATGAAGAGTCGACTAAGTGCGTCATGCATGACTTCAACTTTAGTGTTTTATATTAAGAACTAAGTGGTAAGCACATGCACCAGCCGATACAGAGACGGCAGGAAAAGTCATGGCGGAGGCAGCGAGCAGCTTCACGATCGGAGACTCCAGATGGTCTC